TCCATGAAGGTGTCCTCACCTTTGTCTGTCTCTCCTGTCCAGCCCAAACCGTCTTTCGATGAAATGTCTCCAGAACTGACAGCCCTGCTGAAGTCCGCCAGAGAGCAAGAGACCTTCAGGGAACACAACCTGCTGAAGGTGCTGTCCTCATGTCCTTCTGTCCTCATGTCCTTCTGTTCTCATGTCCTTCTGTCCTCATGTCCTTCTGTCCTATGTCCTTCTGTCCTCATGTCCTTCTGTCCTCATGTCCTTCTGCCCTATGTCCTTCTGTTCTCATGTCCTTCTGTCCTATGTCCTTCTGTTCTCATGTCCTTCTGTCCTCATGTCCTTCTGACCTCATGTCCTTCTGTCCTCATGTCCTTCTGTTCTCATGTGCTTCTGTCCTCATGTCCTTCTGTCCTATGTCCTTCTGTTCTCATGTCCTTCTGTTCTCATGTCCTTCTGTCCTCATGTCCTGACCGCATGTCCTTCTGTTCTCATGTCCTTCTGTCCTCATGTCCTTCTGACCTCATGTCCTTCTGTTCTCATGTCCTTCTGTCCTATGTCCAGGTCCATCTTTATTCTTTAATTTTGACGTTTTATATCTCATGTCTTGATGTTTCTGTCCCTCGTGTCTCCTGATTGTCTCTGTTTTCTGTTTCAGACGTCAGAGACGGTGGAGACAGTCTTTGTCCTCCCAGAGTCCAGTGACCCGGACCAGGACGTCGCAGACCACTATAAGGTAGCCCCGCCCCCCGCTCGCCCCCCCCCCTCCTCCAGGAGCCCCTGATGATGATGTCACAGGCCGGCGGCCCGGCCGCGGTAAACGTGAGGCTAGTGATGAAGATGAGGATGAGGATGGCAGTGATGAGGGTAGCAGTGATGATGATGTCATCAGCGTGCTCGCTCAGGCGGCCGTTGACGAGTCGACAGAGGCTGCGGTCAGACAAGCCAGCGATCAGGACACCTGTGGTTACCATGACGACAAAGAGTCAGATGACTCCCAGGAGGAAGGAGAGTGGACCCCCCCTTCACCCCGCCCCACGTCCCGGGACTCCACCAGCCCCACCCAACGGTCCCCACGGGAGGATGAGGAGGTAACCATGGAGACGCAGAGACCCGTCCCAGTCGGTCCTGTCCCACCTGGTCCCATAAAGTCCCTCTGTCCCCAGCAGACCTTGTTACCCTGCGTCCTCCTGATAGTCTGTCCCAGTGTCACCAGCCTGGTTCTGGTACCGGTAGAGTGTGTCTCAATGAATATGGAGGACTGGTTGCCTCCAGTTGCCTCTGGTTGCCTCCGGTTGCCTCCAATGGCTTCCAGTTGCCTCCAATGGCCTCCATTTGCCTCCGGTTGCCTCTGGTTGCCTCCAATGGCTTCCAGTTGCCTCCAATGGCCTCCAGTTGCCTCCAATGGCCTCCAGTTGCCTCCAATGGCCTCCAGTTGCCTCTGATTGCCTCCGGTTGCCTCCAATGGCTTCCAGTTGCCTCCAATGGCTTCCAGTTGCCTCCAATGGCCTCCGGTTGCCTCCAGTTGCCTCTGGTTGCCTCTGGTTGCCTCCAATGGCCTCCGGTTGCCTCCAATGGCCTCCGGTTGCCTCCGGTTGCCTCTGGTTGCCTCTGGTTGCCTCCAATGGCCTCCAGTTGCCTCCAGTTGCCTCTGGTTGCCTCCAATGGCCTCCGGTTGCCTCTGGTTGCCTCTGGTTGCCTCCAATGGCCTCCAGTTGCCTCCGGTTGCCTCTGGTTGCCTCGGTTAAATGTGTTTCCTGTGTGTTTCAGGAAGTCCCGGTGATGAGGAAGACTCTAACCTACGAAGCTCCCGGGGTGAGGACGTTTTTCGGTGGTCCATATTTGCATCAGTCCAGAGGTGATCGGTCAGTCAGAGCGGTTCTGGTGCTGATCCAAAGCGACCAGGCAGGTCTCCAGTCCGAAGGGACCAGCAGGTTTTGTCCAGATCTGAGGAGCAGAGAAGCTAAACTTTGCCTCATCTGCTCTGGTTCTGGTTCTGGTTCTGGACACACAGTCAGCAAATCTCTGAAGACCAGAAACCCAAACTCCCAACAGCAGAACCTATCAATGTATTCTTTGATTCGAGACCTGGTTCTGATCCAATTCAGCTGGATGTGACTTGTAAACATTCAGATCCGGCCCATTTTCTGGTACCGCCTCACCTGGTCCGGTTCTATACCACCACGGGTTCCTTGACCGTTGGGCCGGACCGAGGAGGAGGTTTAGAGGTAGTTTCAGAGGACAGTCCGACCCGGACCGGCCCGTTTCGCTCCGACCTTAAGCTTTGACTGACCGTCTCCACCTGCAGGTTTAGAACCAGATGAAGCTCGGTGTTCCTGACCTGTAGACATGACTGGTACTGATCCGGTCGGTACCAGTTGGACTCACAGCATCCCGTTGTGGCTCCTGACGGTTCTGGTTTTGTTCTGATGTGTTTCAGAACCAAGGCGGCGCTGATACCCCCGCCGGCCTCCTGCTGAGCTCCCAGACCTTCACCGCAGAGACGTCCAACACCACCACCACCACCCACATCACCAAGGTATCACCAGAGCAACAGTCATGTTCACACAGCAACACTTAAATGAATCGTTTTTACAGAATAATGAAGGAATTTTTATCTTAGGTAATGTTTCATCCCACCACAGCCTGCCTACTGAAGAGGTCAAAGGTCACATTGGATCAGAGGTCTGACCTTCAGGTTGAAATGTTGAGTCTTGTTTCTTCTATTTTCATCCTTAGATGGTGAAAGGAGGAGTTTCAGAAACCAGAGTGGAGAAAAGAATCGTCATATCTGGAGACACTGAGGACGACCATGAACAGGTACCTCCACCCGGAACCCCAACAGAACCTCCCTGAACCCCTTCAAAATCTCCCTGAACCCCATCAGAACCTCCACCCGGAACCCCAACAGAACCTCCCTGAACCCCTTCAAAATCTCCCTGAACCCCATCAGAACCTCCACCCGGAACCCCAACAGAACCTCCCTGAACCCCTTCAGAACCTCCCTGAACCCCATCAGAACCTCCCTGAACCCCTTCAGAACCTCCCTGAACCCCATCAGAACCTCCCTGAACCCCATCAGAACCTCCCTGAACCCCATCAGAACCTCCCTGAACCCCTTCAGAACCTCCCTGAACCCCATCAGAACCTCCCTGAACCCCTTCAGAACCTCCACCCTGAACTCCATCAGATTCCTATTCCTGCAAAGCCTCTCTTCACCAAAGGCCTGACCAGAACCTGCTGGCCCGGGTGCCACAGCTCCACCAGCTGGCAGAACTTTAGATGCAGGGATCTGAGGACCGAGCCCTGGTACTGAATCCAATCCAGTCCTGGTTCAGTCCGGTCCTGAGATTCTTCCCGGTCCAATTCCAGTCTGGGTCTTGGTCCCAGTTCCGGTCCAGTCCATCCCGGTCCGGTTTTGACAGTCCCGTCTCTTTAAAGGCCCTGGCGGCGGCGCTCTACGAGGCGCGGCGGCAGCATCCTGAACTGTCGGTCACCAGAGTCGTCGTTCACAAAGAAGCGGAGGTTCCTCCTGATCACATGATCAATTAGTGATGTCACAGGCAGGTGGGATTCCAGCTGAATGCTCATTGGTCGGTTGCATGGCCTCTGCCTGGCTGGGTCTGATTGGTTTAAGCCTAAACGGGTTTAACCAATCAGGTATCCTTTTCAATTCTGTGGCTCCTGGACTCAGAATCAGTATGGAGTGCTCTGATTGGCTTAATCAGCTGACAGCCAGCAGGAGGCGCTGTACCCTCGTTGTACCTGCTGCATGTCTGCATGATCATCAGTGGTTCAGTCACCCACACACCGCCTGCTGCAGTTCCTCTGATTAACACTAGATGTCCCTGCTGAGAAAGAGAGAATCTAAACAGCAGAAGAAGACAAGAGAAAATGATGATTTCAGAAAACATCTGCTGATCTGATGTCCTCCTGTCTGTGTCTTTCAGGACTGAATGTTGATCCTCTGTTGCATTATGGGAGTTGTAGTCCCCAGCCAATCCCACCATGCAGATTCTAACCCCAACTGGAACGACAAACTCACCACATGAATGCATGCGTGAACACACACACACACACACACACACACACCCTGGCGCTACATGCTACAGTTGGACGTTGGTCTCCAGGTGACGCTGTGACGTATTTAAGAAGCCCCGCCCCCTCATCCACCTCAAGCCAGGCCTCCTGGCTGCTTCAGGAAGCCTTTTGATTGGCCGACTGACTCAGGTGTGCTCCTGACTTACAGTTTGAGAACCTGCTGAGAGGCTTTTATTATGAAAATCTGCTTCCTGCCTCCATCGCTTGCGCAGCCAGTATTTACCCATGATGCAACAGGACATGCCATAGAGCTCAGAGGAAGTAGGTCTGATCCTGACTGTCGGCTCTGTTGGAGTGAACTTTGACCTCAGTCTGCTGTGGCAGATCCTCTACAGGAGAGCCCTTCAAAGTAAAAGCCCTGCTCGGACTAGGAAGCGGTTGGGATGGACTCTTATTTTGAAACTCTGCAGGAAGTCTTCAGTGATAGATACTAGTTTCACCTGTTACGTTTTCCCACTTCCTGTCACATTTCCGGACCGGGTTGGTTCTGCTTGGCAGGTTCAGAACCTCAGCGATCACTTTTCACCTGTCTCACCTGGCCCGTCGCCATGGCAACCCATCCTGATGCATGTCATCTGGATCTGTGTAACTGAGCCAGATCCTCACCTGGATCTGTTGCCATGGTAACTGACAGTAACTGACGGTACCGGGTCAAGTGAACAGGAAGTTGGGTCAGGTGGTCCAGGTGAACCCGCCTGCTGGAAGCGATCCTTCCTGTTCACTATCCTGGAAAAACTCTTTTCATTGAAGGAACTTTGTTGACTTTTGACCTCTGACCTCATTTATTTAATTCATCTGTGGCTCATTTCTGTATTTATGGCCTCAGACTGAACCAGCACGCCCCCTGGTGTCCACTTTTATTTTCTCACCTTCATCACTGAACTTTATTAAAATGACGAAACAAACAATTTTCTTCTCTGGTTTATTTTTTTGTCTGATTACATCATGATGACATCAGCTTTAATTAAATCAACCTGAGATGACATCACCACGGCTACGATCACTACGAGGCAGGGCAGGAGTCTAGCGTCACGCCCGACAGGAAGTGGGCGGAGCTCAGGTGGAGAGGGAGGGTCAGGTGAGAGCGGGCGAGCCGCAGGTTCCTCAGGCAACCTCTGAACCCGGAGCGGATGGTCAGGCAGTTCTGCTTCACGGCGGCTGGAGGAGGGAGACAAACGGGTCAGAACCAGTGATGGGAAAGTTACTTAACTAAGTTACATTGAAAGTAACTTTTTAGTTCCTTTCAGCACCTGCTGCTGTAGCTGAGCTGATTTTATCTATTTATTTTTTATAATTACGGGTCCTTCTCAAAATATTAGCATATTGTGATAAAGTTCATTATTGTCCATAATGTAATGATAAAAATTTAACATTCATATTTTAGATTCATTGCACACTAACTGAAATATTTCAGATCCTTTATTGTCTTAATACAGATGATTTTGGCAAACAGCTCATGAAAAACAAAAATTAGCATATCATGAAAAGGGTCTGTAAAGGAGCTATGAACCTGATCATCTGAATCAATGAATGAACTCTAAACACCTTCAAAAGATTCCTGAGACCTTTAAAACTCCCAGCCTGGTTCATCACTCAAAACTCCAATCATAAGTCAGACTGCTGACCTGACTGCTGGCCAGAAGGCCAACACTGACACCCTCAAGCAAGAGGGAAAGACACAGAAAGACATTTCTGAACGAACAGGCTGATCCCAGAGTGCTGTATCAAGGCACCTCAGTGGGAAGGAAATAGTGTGGCAGAAAACGCTGCACATCGAGAAGAGCTGACCCTGAGGAAGATTGTGGAGAAGGGCCGATTCCAGACCTTGGGGACATGTGGAAGCAGTGGACTGAGTCTGGAGTAGAAACATCCAGAGCCACCGTGCACAGGCGCATGCAGGAAATGGGCTACAGGCGCATGCAGGAAATGGGCTGCAGGCGCTGCATTCCCCAGATCAGAACCAGAAACAGCAGCAGAAGCGCCTGACCTGGGCTACAGAGGAGCAGCACTGGACTGCTGCTCAGTGGTCCAATGTACTTTTTTCAGATGAAAGCAAATTTAGCATCTCATTCGGAAATCAAGGTGCCAGAGTCTGGAGGAAGACTGAGGAGAAGGAATTTCCAAAATGCCAGAAGTCCAGTATCAAGTACCCAGTCAGTGATGGTCTGGGATGCCATGTCAGCTGCTGGTGTTGGTCCACCGTGTTTTATCAAGGCCAGGGTCAATGCAGCTCTCTATCAGGAGATTTTGGAGCACTTCTGCTGAAAAACTTTATGGAGATGAAGATTTCATTTTCAGCATGACCTGGCACCTGCTCTCTGTGCCAAAACCACTGGCAGATGGTTTACTGGCCGTCACTGTGCTCTATTGGTCTGCCGACTCTCCTGACCTGAACCCCACAGACAATCTGTGGGATATTGGGAAGAGAAAGTTGAGAGACGCAAGACCCAACACTGTGGATGAGCTAAAGGCTATCGAAGCATCCTGGGCCTCCATAACAGGCTGCTGATGCCTGCATGCCACGCAGCACTGAAGCAGTCATTTCTGCAAAAGGATTCCCGACCAAAACACTTTTCTTTTATTGGTACGATGAAATATGCTATTTTTTGTAAGATAGGAATTTTGGGATTTCATGAACTGTTTGCCACAATCATCTGTATTAAGACAATAAAGAACCTGAAATATTTCAGTTAGTGTGCAATGACTCTAAAATATATGAAGGTTACATTTCTATCATTACATTATGGACAATAATGAACTGTATCAAATATGCTAATATTTTGAGAAGGACCTGTAATTATGAACCTTTTTTGTTGACATGTCTGTTTTTTTGGTTCCTGGTGTTGTTCTGGGGGGACGATTATTGGTGTCGCACACAGAGGGTTCTGTCAGGCAGCTGCAGCAGCTCTGCAAGCAGAAGCTGCAGCAGCTGGTAAGATGTGCTAATGCTGCTCCCACTCTTAGTGATGCTCATAATGTTCATAATGGTTCTCACACTTTTTGTGCTGCATAAATTATAATGTTAAATGTCTTTATGTGTTTTAAAAAACTTGAGGTTTGTTAGAATTAAACTGTCGCCCTTTAAAGTTGTTTGAAGTTTTCCCTCCAAAATGTTTGCTGAGCTGCTGGGATCCGACTGGTTGAGTCCCACATTGTTATAGAAATGGATCAATGATGTCATTGATCCATTTTGCACTAACAACACTCCTGTGAAAACCACATTGATCTTTGCCAATAATTAATTGGAAATTATTTCATAATGTAACATCAACAATGAAGGGGAGATTGTTTAATGGTTCTGATACAGAAAAACCTTTAGTAATTTGTGTTTGGTGTTGCAGCGCAGAGGAGCAGGAGGAGCAGGAGGAGCAGGAGGAGCAGCGCTGCTCCTGCGGTTCTTCAACTCAGATGGCGGCACAGATTTTCGTGGCTGTTTTAACGTTTATTGCTGTTCATATTAGTCTTGATGTTTGCAGTTTTAATATTTTCACAGCAGATATATTGACATTAACAAAGACTCTCCAGGATGGATGATGCAGGAAACGATGGACAGGAAGAGCCTGCATGTCAGACACATTTTGTCTCTGACTATATAACCCAAACGAAAACTGAGCACAAAACTGCTTAGAATCAATAATGGGACTTGGCCACAGAAACTCCAAGTACTTCCTGTTTTGAGAGGCAAAATGTGCTTCTGTCACTGCTGATGATGTCATAGAAACGGCGGCGACTTCTCATGACGCCATGAGGAAAAATAATTAAATCACAATAGAAAATTTCAACATAGTTATTTTGATAAGTGACTTTAATCAGAATACTGGATTTGAAATGGTAACCTGTTAGATTACTCGTAATCCTGACATCACTGTTCAGAACCAGAACCCACAGAAACGGGTCAGAACCTGGTGTTCAGCAGCTGCTCTCACCTGGAGCCCCGCCCAGGTAGACGGGGTTGTTGGTCTCGGCAGAGGTGGATTGTGGGTAGGGGTTAGCGGCGCTGTACTGCGTCCCATCCACGCTCAGCGTCAAGCCGTGCTTCGTCTTTCTGGCCACCAGGTGGTGCCAGCGTCCGTCGCAGAGCACCGGGCCTGTGGAGCGCAGCGCCACGCGTCCCGCCCCGTTGTTCACGTTGAACGCCACCTGAGGAGAGACGGGCCTCACCTGAGCGCCGTTACCATGGCTTCACCTGTCTTCACCTTAGCCGCTCGGGCTCACCTGTCCGTCCACCATCTCCAGGCCGACAGCGTCCACCTTGGCGCTGCTGATGCCCAGGAAGACGCCTTCTGATTGGCTGGTCCGGAACTCCAGAGACACCGCCATGTCAGCGCCAACCTTATACCCATCATGCACTGCGGGAACAAACAGAGGCTCACCTGGCCGCTTGCTCAGGACCGAAGCCACCCCACCAACCCATCCAACCAGAGACACCGTGTACTGTCCTCTGCTACTCCACCCAGCAGATGAAGAAGGACTCACTGAGCTCAGCGTGTCCACTGCCGTTGAAATAACTTCCTATCTGATCCTTGGTGAAGCAGGAAGTGACATCATGCTGTGAGAACGGCTTGGACAAATCCAGCACGGTACCGTTGAGACTGACTGACCGAAGACAACCTGGGAGACTGCTGCTGACCTGAGGGACAGACATGGGGACAGCTTCAGTCAGGTCCAGCTCACTTGGTCTGCTGCGGTAGACGATCTCTCCTCTGCTGGCTCTTGATTGGTGTAAAGTGTGTGATGTCATGAGGAGACTTACGCCGATCCTCCGGCCGTTCACACCAGGAGGAATCCCTCCGAGGAACAGCGTCCTGTCCACGTCTATGTGGTGTCCTTTGATTGAGGCGGTGGTGGGACGGGAGCCGTCCACCGTCAGGGACACGGACCTCCGGCTCACCTCGGCGCTCACCTGAGAGACGGAGGGACAGGGTTCAGATCCCGGTCCAGCTCTGGACCCTGAAGATGTCCTCTGGAGATTGACTCACAGAGTGCCAGTGTCCATCGTTGACAGTGGCGGACAGGACGGAGGCTGGGCCTTTCCCCAGGTCGGCGGACAGCCTGACCCGTCCCCCTCTCAGACCGAGGACGACAAAGTCCATCTGCTTGGAGTCGGACAGGAGGAGCATGAGGCCGTCCAGAGCCCGGCTTCGAACCGACAACCTCACCGACACACTGACGACCAAGAGACACGACACGGCAGAGCGGCATCAGAGAATCTGGGGACGCAGCCCAAACCCCTCCACCCTGGCGTCATGGAGACCAACCTCTTCCTGAAGGCGCCGGGGTCGATGAGGAAGGTCATGTGACTGTGGCTGGACGAACCGAACTGCGCCGCCGACGGCAGGAAGGACGATTCCTGCTCCGCCGCACACTTCAACACAAACCAATCACCTACCTTAGATCACCGACCAATCAGCACGCAGCTCAATCTGCATCGCTAAACATGGTGCTTACTGTTAGCGCTGCAGCTGTCAGGGCGCTCAGGTGTGTGGGCGGAGTTAAAGGCACGCGTGCAGGCGTAGACTCAACGTCCGGGTCATCAGGAAGCACAGCCCCCAACAGGCAGCTGTTAAGCTCCGCCCCCTTGTACCTGACTGGAACCGATAGGTCCACAAGCCTGCAGACCAAAACCATTAGCCAATCAGAGACAGCGGGCGGCGGATCGATGCGGGACAAAGACTCACGCTCCGCCCACCACCAGGTGGTGGATGCAGCCCCTGAAGCGCTGGGATAAAACTCGCAGTCTGATTGGCAGACGGGACTCGCTCTCCGGCGGGAGCCCACCAATGAAGAGAGAGGAAGGAGTCAGCCGAGAAAAGCCTCCAGGCTTCAGGGATGCAGACTTCAGGTGCTCATCGTCCACCTGGAGGGACAGAGACCTGGAGACGGAGACGAGGCTCGTTCAGGTGCGACCGTCGGCAAGTGCAGGGGATTGTTTCTATGGCAACACATACTTCTTATTGACAGTTATAACAACCGAGTGTTCGCTTCCATCACCGAATGATCCACCACCAGACTTCAACACTTTGACCTTCCGACTGGCTCCGCCCACGTCCCCTAGCTCCGCCTCCACGCCACCTGAGACCAGGTGAAGGGACAGGAAGTACTGTGGACAGAGCGGACAGCAGGTGACCACACTGCATCACTGGTGCATCACATGACCTGAGCGGGTCTCACCTGAGCGGGTCTCACCTGAGCGGGTCTCACCTGAGCGGGTCTCACCTGTCGGTCGTCACTGAAGGCCACCAGCAACAGTCCTGATTGGTTGTTGGAGGAGAAGGTGAAGAGAAGCTCCGCCTCCTGACCGAATGACGGCGCAGCGATCTGGACGAAACCCCCAGACAAGAGAGAGACGCTCCGCACCGCCTGGTGATAAACAACAGATCAATTATTGATCCCTGATTGGCCTGCGAGGGACTCCTTAAGGAACCTGATCGGGTCCAGGTACCTTCAGAACGCAACCCTTCCGGACCCCGAATGCGTCCTTCAGCAGGTCAAAGTTCGATCGAGCAATCTCTACGTTCTTTATACAGCCAGCGTATGCCCGGGACGTCACCTGTCGCCTAGCAAGCACAGAGACAGCCAGGTGAGGACAGAAAGGACGTCGTCTCGTGTGATCTTCAGCTCACCGACCTGATTGCTCTGGATGAAGGAAACCCTCCGATGTAGATGGGGTCGAGGTCATAGCGGTTCAGGTCCGAAGCAGTTCCTGGAGACTCGCCCTCCAACACCTCCTTCTCCGATGATTGGCCTGCCGCCATGACGGACAGGTAACCTGGACACAGCCAGAGTCCACAGTCAGCGGGACGGACGTCCACCTGAAGCAGTCAGCTGCTTCGTTCCTGGATCTACCTTTGCGCTTGTTCCTCTGCAGGGTGACCTTGAACCAAACTCCAGTGTTGTACTTCCTGTTGGAGGTCTGGACCAGAGCGCCTGACCCCAGGTCAAACGCCAGACGGACATGACCCTCAACCAGTTCTAGAGACAGGAAGTCCCTCTGATGGAAACAGGAAGTGAAGTCTTTGTGTGTGTCCCTCCAGAGTGAAAGCCTGTGATGTGTGTGTGTGGTGTGTGTGTGTGTGTGTGTGGTACCGTGTTGTTGGAGGCCAGGTAGAGCAGCAGTCCACCTGGAGACAGAGTCTTAAACAGCAGGACAATGGAGGTGGACGTAGCTTTCAAAGACTTGTGGACCACAGAGAACCCAGAGCCGTCAAAGTAGAAAGATGTCTCCTCTGCTTGGGGACTGGGACACATGCAGGTGGACGGAGACAGGTGAGAAGGAGCTCGGTGTCTGTAAGCACGTTGTGCTGATCTGAAGTCTACCTGCTGAAGCAGCCGCCACACCGGCCCTCCCGACTGACGTAGCTCCACAGGCCGATATTCCGCTCATTAAGCGAAGCTTCCCCCAGACATCCCTGGAAGGAGGACGAGTGCAGCCCTGCAGGACGCTGCCGTGACACACGCAGTCATCACCGGACAGTCCTCACACACACACCTGTCCACCTGACGGAGGGCTACCTGAGTGACGGCTCCCATTCCTCCGATGTGAATCACCGTGTTTCTGTCAATGTCCAAAACTCGCGATGATCCTGGAGAAGAGGAGGTCACCGCCGGCAGAGGAACCGACCCAGAGTCCAGCTGTTGGACGGACAGAGAGCAGTGCGCCCCGAACCTGATGACATCACAGATGACATCATCAGCCAGACAGAAGGACTCAGAATGTGTATTCTGAGTCCTTCTGTCTGGCTGATGATGTTCAGAGGTTTTCTACCGTGTAGCGTTGATTTTGGTCCATCGGTTGTTGTTAATGTCTGTTTCAGGAAACTGCAGGCGGGTTGTTCCAGAACCCAAGTTCCACAGCAAGGAAACCTTCCCATGATGCATCTCTACTGCCAGGAAGTCCACCTGAACCAACAACACAGCAGGTTCAGGTCGCAGAATGAATCCTGACGTGGGTGTGTGTGTTTGTGTGTGTGTGTGTGTGTGTGTGTGTGTGAGAGTGTGTGTGTGAGTGTAAGTCTGTGTGTGTGTGTTTGTGTGTGTGTGTGTGAGTGTGTGTTTGTGTGCGTGTGTGAGTGTGTTTGTGTGTGTGTGTGTAAGTCTGTGTGTGTGTGTGTGCGCGTGTGTGTGTGTGTGTGTGTGTGTGTGTGTGTGTGTGTGTGTGTGGTCATACTGTGGTGTTGCTGCCCAGGTAGAACAGCAGGTTGTTTGGACGGGAAGTCTTCAGAACCAAACTCAGAGTGTTGAAGTTGCTGGACTGAACCGGCGGTCTGTAGGATCGGACGCAGTTTCTGTCTGCTTGTACCGCCACCTTTATCTGATGACATCACAAACACATCAACTTCCTCACAACAGCCCAGTGCCACCTAGTGGTGGAGCTGCAGATGGACATGGATGAACCACATGGATGAGATCCAAACGGAGAACCTCAACAATCCTTTTCAGGAACATCAAAGCTCAGAACTGAAACATTTGTTCGTCTCTATGCTGATGAGACTGTTGTTTACTATTATATATTATATTTACATTTTATATTTAATTTTGTCCAACTGCTTCTTCATTTGGACAAAACAAACAGGAACTTATTTTCTAACAGACAGGAAGTCATATGATGTTCGCTGTCTTTGTAGCCAATCAGAGATCAGTTTTAACCTTCTTGATTTTTATAATAGTTCTGGATTTTTTGCTATGTTTCTACCAGTTCAGACAAGTTCAGAGAGCTGGTCTGAACTGGTCTTAACCTTAACCAGTCTACCAGGGTCTGGGTGTGAATGTGTCTCAGTACTGAAGCTGCCGGTCAAAACCATCATAACACAGTATAGACCAGTATAAACCAGTATAAACCAGTATAGAACAGTATAGACCAGTATAAACCAGTATAGACCAGTATAAACCAGTATAGGCCAGTATAGAACAGTATAAACCAGTATAGGCCAGTATAGACCAGTATAAACCAGTATAGGCCAGTATAGACCAGTATAAACCAGTATAGGCCAGTATAGAACAGTATAAACCAGTATAGGCCAGTATAGACCAGTATAAACCAGTATAGGCCAGTATAGACCAGTATAAACCAGTATAGGGGAAAAACGCTCTGACTGCCGAAGGAGGAACAGCTTATCCTGCTCTCTCTCGTCCTTCCTGATAACTCTGCCTGCGAATTACTTTTTAAAGCGACAGTTTTTATAGTTATATTTACATTATTGACATTTTAACTGGATTACTACTAACCTAAGGACTGGGGGATTTTCTTACTTTTATTGTTATTTTTACTTACTTTTCTTTACCTCCAAGTTAAACCAGGGCAAAATGCCTCCGATTGACCCCAAGGACATGAGCAGCATTTTACAACGACTTCAGTTTATAGAAATGAAGATCAAACTACTGGAGGTGAACTTTGAGATCAACGCTGCCTGTGGAAATGAAACAACCCTTCCTCAAATCAACGGAGAGGTCGTGCGCCCTGCACCGAGCAGCTCACCCTGGAACGCTCTGGGTGCCAATCCCACTGAAAAACAGATTTTCTGCACTCCAGCCTGAGCCTCTGAGTGAAACTTCGCCTTCAAACATCAACAGTGAGGCAAGACCAACATATCGATCCCCCAAAGCTCCAAAGGACAAAGCGACCACCAGGAAAACTAAAGGTATCCCAAAAGTGCTTGTTGTTGGAGATGAGGCAGTAAAGGGAATCAGTGACGTTTGCAATCCCAGGAAAACAAGAGTGATGTATTTTCCTGGTGACACTGTATCTGATTTAACCAACAAACTGCTCTCTCTAACCACTGATCAGCCAGATATTCAGACTTTAGTTGTGCATGTTGGAGCCAACGATCTGGCAAAGCAAAAGTCTGAGATTCTGAAAAAGGACTTTAACATTCTTCTGGACACTATGGGAAAACTGAGAATGAAGTTATTTCTCAGTGGTCCATTCCATCACCTCAATAGGGAGACGAAAAACACTCCAGGCTGCTCACGATCAACAAATGGCTGATTAAAAGCTGCTCTACCAGCTCAGTGACCTTCATGATAACCTCTGGATCTATTGGCAGAGCTTTCTCCTTTTTGGAAGAGGAGGACGCAATCTTAATAAACATGGGATAAAGCTACTCACTGCAAACCTTTTTTATTTTATCAACAAGGACAGCAACAGGATCATCGCGTCAGAAGAACAGGCTCAAGGATGTCTGACCAGGATGGAACGCTCCCCGGATCAGGAGCACGATATTCCAAAACAAGCTGATAAATCGACTGGAGATGGAGCGACTGCTTCCCTCGCTCCTTCCCCCCTCCCTCTCTGCTCCTCCAATCATTCACAGGATTCAATGGATACCAATGAAGAAATGTCTTCCGGACCAGAGTTTCTTAAATTTACAGATGGAATGAATCAACAGGTTTGCCTCGGCACGTCTCTCCTTAGCACTCACGTAGCAGACCTCACTACATTTAAGCAACCTGCCCCTGACTTCCCAGAGGATCCATCACTCTGTGTTCCTGAGGTCTGAGGCCGGGGACCAGATATTATCTTTACACCCGTCTTCCTCCAGAATGCATCTGGCCCCCTGGAAATGCAGAACAGGACATTACCTGTCCGGATCACTACAAGAAAATTTACAAAAACCAGAAATATGAAACACAGCGGTCCTAATTCAAACCTCAGAGTGATCCCCTGCCTAAAGGAACCTCAGACTGAAAATCTTTTGGCCTCCAAGCCACTTAAAGTAGCTCTTTTAAATATCAGATCACTCTGTGCTAAAGCTCTGTTAATTAATGATTTCATCACTGAGTATAATGTTGATGTTTCTGACAGAAACATGGTTGAATGACGATAATGACCAAATTGTACTCATTGAATCAGCGCCTCCTGACTACAATTTTTTAAGTGAGAATAGAAAACATAAAAAAGGAGGAGGCGTGGCTTCTATATTTAAAAATACCATAAACTGTAGTAAAATGTCTTTGGGTCATTTCAGTTCTTTTGAGTATCTTGGAATTCAGGTTAAAGGCTTCAAACGAACTTTGACACTAACTTTATACAAAACTCCAGCATATGTGGAAAATTTCTTCACTGACTTGAATGATCTTTTATCTCTCATATGCATTGATTATGATTGTTTAATAATTGTTGGTGATTTCAACATTCATGTGGACAAACCCCAAGACAGAGGAGCAAAAAAGCTCTCTGATATTTTAGAAAATTTTGGTTTAACACGTCAAACAAGCAACACACACTCAAGGACACACACTGGACCTGGTTATCAGTAAGGGTGTGAATATTTCCAATGTCTCTGTAACTGATGTCGCCTGTCGGATCACTTTGCTGTTATCTATGAAGGTTCTTTATTCTTTGACCCACTTGGACAAACAGCTGCTGTCACAAAACGTTCTTTCACAGAAAACATTTAATCAAATCTACTCTTCCTCCTCACCCTTAAGCTGTAATGATGTAGATCAGTTGTTAGATGATTTTCAGTCTAAAGTTTCATATATCATTGATTCCATTGCTCCAATTAAAGTAAATGTTGTGTCTGGTAGAAAGAAATCTCCATGGAGAAAAGCACAAATAGTTCGGTCTGCAAGACAAGTCTGCCGCAGGGCAGAACCAAAATGGCGTAAAACTCAACTTCACGTTCATCATGACATCTATAAAGAAAGACTACGTAACTGTCACTTAACACTAAAACATGCAAGGGAGGCTTTCTTTGCAGATGTCATAAAGAAAAACATCAATAATGCTGGAACTTTATTTGCAACAGTTGACAGGCTCACAAACCCTCCTGTGACGTTTCCACCTGAACTCCAATCTAATGCAGCCTGTAACAAGTTTTCTGATTTCTTTTCAGAGAAAATCCAAAAATCAGAGGATTAATCTGCACATTAACTTCAAAGCCAGAACCACTGTACCAAAACAAAACAAATACAGGAAAAATGACCCATTTTCAACTACTTCATTATAAAACCCTAGAAGAAATTATAAGTCAATTAAGTTCAAGCTCCTGCTGTCTGGATGTCCTTCCCACACATTTCTTTAAGAAAGTCCTGCTTGTTATTGCTACTGATCTGATCCAAATAGTAACTCATCGCTTACATCAGGTGTTTTCCCCCAGGCTTTGAAAACAGCAGTCATCAAACCACTGCTAAAAAAGAACAGCCTGGACAAATCACTATTGCAGAATTACAGGCCGACCTCTGACCTCTGACCTCCCATTCATCAGCAAAGTTATTGAAAAAATTTAATTGTAAACAATTAAATAGTTTCCTCATGATGACCAACTGCTTTGACACTTTCCAATCTGGTTTTCGTGCTCACCACAGCACGGAGACTGGCCTAGTCAAAGTATTCAATGATATTCATATAAATACGGACTGTGGGAGAACCACGGTGCTGGTTCTGTTGGACCTCAGTGCAGCTTTTGACATATTACTGAATGGACTGGAGAGTTGGGTTGGACTCTCCGGTTCGGTGCTCGACTGGTTTGAATCCTACATAAAGAACAGGGATTTCTTTGTTTCAATTGGAAACTTCTCATCAAAGAGGTCAAAGGTCACATGTGGGGTACCCCAAGGTTCAATCCTAGGACCCCTCTTATTTAATATTTTATTCTCCCACTAGCTCAGGTTATAACAGGAAATAATATTAGCTACCATAACTATGCGGATGACACTCAGCTCTACATTACGATGTCACCAGGTGACCTTTGACCCCATCCAATCACTGAATAAATGTTTAGAACAGATAAATGTGTGGATGTGTCAAAACTTTCTCCAACTGAACAAAAATAAAACTGAAGTCATTATTTTTGGACCTAAAGAGGAACGATCTAGAGTCAATGCACAGCTTCAGTTATCACAACTAAAAACTAGCGATCAGGCCCGAAACCTGGGAGTAGTGATGGACTCTGACTTGAACCTCCAGAGCCACATAAAGACAGTAACAAAATCGGCCTTCTATCACCTGAAGAACGTCTCCAGGATTAGAGGACTAATGTCTCAGCCAGATCTAGAGAAACTCATCCATGCGTTTATCTTTAGTCGCATTGATTATTGTAACAGCGTCTTCACAGGCCTGTCCAACTAATCAATCCTCCAGCTGCAGCTGATCCAGAAGCTGCTGCTCCTGTTCTCACTAAAACCAGGAAGATAGAGACATAACAGCAGTTTTAAAGTCCCTCCACTGGCTTCTTGTAGCTCAAAGAATAGATTTTAAAATACTGTTGTTAGTTTATAAATCACTGAACGGTTTAGCACCACAATACATCAAAGATCTGCTGTTGTTGTATCAACCTTCCAGACCTCTCAGGTCTTCTGGTTCTGGTCTGATCTGCATCCTCAGAACCAAACCAAGAGAGGAGAAGCAGCTTTCAGCATCTATGGACCAAAAATATGGAACAAAC